TAGGTAAATTCCAGACATAGGTTAATTTAGTAGACAAGACGCATCTAAATATTCTTGATTTGAGTGCCTGTTGCAAAAAAGACATTGAATTTTAGTCGTTTCCAGTAGTGAAAACGTTCTGAAATCGACACAGAACCCGCGAATTTCCAGTAAGCAGTTCCAGTTTTAAGATTTTGGATACTACTAATTTTGGGAAGTTACAATTAGTTCAAATTCACACAGTGTCCAAGAATTTCCCGATAGCACCTTGCGGTGTTTCAGTACCAGTTTCAAGATTTTGGACGCCTCGGGGATTATCCTGAGGACTATCAGGGTCTGTCAGACAACTTCATCGTTCGACTTGAAACAATTTCAATTTTCATTTCAACCAGGTGAGTCCCTCTTCCTTTAATTGTAAATTAGGAAAAGGGTCTAAGTAAAGATTTGGGAGACATGATGATCTCTGGACAGTAGGACATTGTACTGTAAATAGTTTATCAATAAATAGCCTTAATAAGTTGCGATAATTAGGAGTTTTCTTCTTGAGAGACCTCAGGTCGACGTGCGATTCCCAGATTTTCATCAAGTCTGATATAGACAATTTGTGCTTTAGACTCACATCTAAGAATATTAAGATGACTTTTAATTGACTTCCAACAACTGTGACCAACTGAATAGTTCAGGTCGACGACTTGATCCACATTAGCAACTGCGATTTTGCAGTATATTACCAGGTACTAGCAGTACTAGTTGTTGTACTGGGTCAAGTTAGATGAAAAATTATTATTTATTGAGGCCAACCTGTACATATATCAATGTAATTGTCATTTCAGATATGGATGTTTTTCTAAACTCGGGGATTGCTTCAATGATGGAAAGTCTTATCGATAGGTTCCAGGACATGAAAACAACGTACAATATGATGGGAAATCGTGCTCGTCGCCACCGTGCGAAGTCTGAACGGAAAGAACAATTTCGAAAAAGAGCTGCAACTTACGAGGAATACTATTTTAAAAATCATTCAAGGCGCCACAATGGCGGATCAGAGAGCATCGTGTCCCGGAAAAAATGGGCTCGAAAGTCACTGGGTACAGTATCAGAAAATAATAACAAAGCCCTCTCCGATTTAATTACATTCAGGATGCGATGTACAAGTTCGACTTTCGGACAATCAACTTCTACTTATGCGTCCGCTTACAGCCAAACTAAAGATTGGTTATCCTATAATTCAAATCACGATGCCCAAAACTGTGGCCAAATTGTGAAAACATCCAGTTATGGACAAATGTATCTCACAAGGACCACACCACCCACGTCATCCTACACAAATTCCGGTTTGGATGAAGTCTTTAGCGAGGAGGATGATGTTTTCTTTGACTTTAATGTTGCGACTAAAGACTCTATAAGCGACCACGAGTTGGACGATAATGAGATACAGATTACTATATTTCATGAACACAAACGTAATTTGTTAACTGTATCTATACACCGTGCTACACCTGTTCTTGAAGATTCTGGAAAATTATTCGCTAAAGTTTCCATACAACCGGCACAAAAACAGACACAGAAAGGACAGAGAATAGATTTGCAAAAAGTTAAACGTTGGGAGGAGGACTTTGTATTTAAAAAATTAACAATAGGACAATTAGAGAGCTGCTCAGTTATCATCAAAATTTACCAAAAGACGGGAATTTTCAAATCAGCAACTGAACAATACGTTGCTAAAGTCGCGTTGAAAGACGTTGACATCAAAGGCTTCGAAACAACTAAATTGATGTTACAGAAGCCCACTTCATATTGAAGGGTTCCCCCCTCTTAGGACCCTTCGTCACGTCATCATGCCTGAAATTCACAAATCTCTCCATGATAACACCGTAAGTGACCTTTTATGGGATATGGACCGATGACACCAATTTTCGTGAATATTTATGCTTTTTATATACGAATTGTGAGAGTGAGAGTTGACAAAATAAATTTTGATAAAATGGTACCAATGGATACATAAAATGAGCCTACCTTTAATAGAAACAAAAATTAATTTTCTGAAAGTAGTCCATTTTTCTTAATCTAATTATTGAAAGATCTAGACATTATAATTATCTTTTAATTTGTTGAATAAATTCTATCATTGAGTTCATTGAAAATGAAATTATTGCTTAGCGCTACTTTCATTATATCTGAATTTCACTTTTCATCAAATTTGACATATCTAAATATCTATATCTATTTCTATATCTGTAATTCTGTGTTTTAGATATTTAAGTCAAATCAAAATATGTTCAAAATAGCTGCCCCGCCGCATATATTACTTGCCCCATCGAACAATCAAGTCAGACTACGGGCCTGTTCCTCAGATTTTAGTGATTTTCCATCTTGACTCTGTGGGCATTGAATATCTTGATCTTGATAATAGAGACAG